AAATTTGTAGAAAGTGAAATACCACTTCTTGGGTGCATCGTTGGTAAGAACGCAGTACGTCCTGATCCCGAAAATATCAAGGCGATCACCGACTGGCCTGAGCCGGTTGATGTCAAGGGTCTTCGAAATTCCTTGGGCTAGCGGCGTATTTGCAAAAGTATTCACGCGATAACGCAAATATGACTGTACACCTCTCTCGTTTGTTGAAAAAGAACGAGAGGTGGTTATGGAACGCTGAATGTCAGCGCTCCTTTGATGGTATCAAGCAGAGCTTGATACAATCCCCAGTCCTAGCAATTGCCGATCAGGACAGGCCATTTCATGTGGTCTGTGATGCCAGCAATTTCGCAATCGGCTGCGCATTAATACAGTACGATCTTGAAGGCGTTGAACGCGTCGTCTGCTATCAGTCGCGTCAGCTGCAACCAGCTGAGCGGAACTATCCAGTGCATGACAAGGAACTCCTTGCCATGAAGTATGCACTCGCGAAGTTCAGAGTCTATCTATTAGGAGATAGACCCTTCATTGTTTACACTGACCATGCGTCATTACGCACGGCAGTAAACAGCCCATATCTTTCACAACGAATGGCGCGGTGGTTGTCATTATTTGCAGAATACAACTTTACGGTAGAGTACAAACCAGGACGACTTAATGTCGTTGCTGATGCACTCTCACGTCGTCCCGACTTTGAACCAGTCGCGAAACCCAACAGTGAGACAGTCACTGTTGCGGTTATGACGTCCTCAGTCCCATCTACAACGTTGCATAATGATGTGAGGCGGGCGTATGCCCAAGATGGTAAGATTGTGAAGCTGCTGACACATCTCTCACAGCCATCTCGAGAATCGTTGAAACGATTGTCGTCTGCGTATCGATCCGCATCAGATCGATACACTACTCGCAACGGTTTACTGTATTATACAGCCGTTACTGGTGACACACCACGTGTTGTCATTCCAGATGATACTGATCTGCGTTTGCGGATCATGTTCGAGTATCACGATGCTCCTATAGGAGGACATCGTGGCCGGGAGACAACAAATCTCACGGTGAGTCGAGACTTTTACTGGCCCCGCCAGTATCAGTTTGTGCGCAAGTATGTTCGCGCATGCGAAGTCTGTCAACGAGTGAAGTCAAGTCCTTCACTGCGTGCACCTTTACAGCCTCTACCAGTTCCGACAGAGTGCTTGGAATCCATCTCAAAGGATTTTGTCTTCGGGTTTCCCAAAGACGCACGCGGGAATACGGGTATTCTCGTATTTGTTGACAGATTCAGCAAAATGGTACACCTTGTGGCTGTACCAGAGTCAATCACGGCAAGTGGCTGTGCTTGTGTCTTTATCGACACCATCTTCCGACTTCATGGGTTGCCCCGTGAACTCGTATCAGACAGAGATCCACGATTCACTGCTGATTTCTGGCGTTCCGTGTTCAAATCACTCGGAACGCGCTTGAAGATGTCGACATCTGATCATCCAGAGTCAGATGGTCAGACGGAACAAGCCAATTGTGTCCTCGAAGAGATACTTCGAGGATACGTACACTCCTTTTAGAGTTGGAGTGATTTTTTGCCAATGGTAGAGTTTGACCTTAACAACTCGGTGCATGCGTCCACGACACATACACCGTTTTACGAGAATGGCTTGCGCCATCCGCGTGTACCACCTTACTCGAGTGTAACTCTGGTTTAAGGGGGGGGGACTCGCGCGAGCAAAAATCGATTTGGTTCACGCTAATCTTGCTCTGACAAAGAGGTCATTGCGTTTGATGCCGATATCGACAACATCGATATCGAAGAAGATGATGCCAGTGAGAGCGAGTTGCCCTCGCTGAAAAAAGATTGATGTTGCTGCAGTGGACTCACAGCGCACTGAACCTAACGAGTCATCAGATGAGTTCATACTGGCTCGTGACACGGTAGTTCGTTTTGTGCAAGACTCCATCGCCGAAGCGGTGGACAAGCAAAAGAAAACACAGACAAGAATGGAAGGGCAAACACTCTTTTATTTAATAAAGGTGACTTAGTCCTACTGTCTACGGTTAATCTACCAAAGCATGTAGTGACTAACTTGGGTAGTAGTAAACTTCTACCCAAGTACATCGGCCCATTTCGTGTATTGCATCACCTAGGCAACGCATGCACGATCGAACTGACACGTAAGATGCGAACGCATCCCACGTTTTACGTTGGTCGGATTAAGCCGTACCATCAGTACGCTGTTTCTTCCGATGAAGAACGCCCCTGCGCTCAAGCATCTCACAGAGGGCCTTGTGCTCCCGATGGTGGATATCAACAAGGGTCTGAAGAGCAGTTATCTGTCAATATCCACACGAGCTACCCTTAGCTCGTCACGAAGAGATGTCAGAGATCTCTCGTTCTCGAGCTGAGCAAAGGCAAACTCAGCTCGATGCTTCAAGATAGTGTCCGCCAGTTGAATACGCCTGTCCCGCTCATGCTCGAGGTCGCCGCGCAACGCAAAAGTTACGCGATCAAAGAGGCTCTCAGAGACACACGCTCCCCCACAAAAGTTTGGAGAGCGTCTTCCCTCCTCCTCCACCTCCTTTGAAGGACTCTCTCGGTGGTCAGCGCTGCATGATTGAGCGGCTGTTGAATCACCGCGATGTGAAAGGACGTCGGACGAGTTACCTCGTCCGGTGGCGCGTATATCCCCCGTCCTGGGATACTTGGGAGCCCCACTCCCAACTGATGGTTGACGTACTGGGTCTGTTTGAGCAGTACGACGCGGCACATTTTGTGCCGTAGAAGGACTGCCGGAGAAAGTCTTCCCGGCACGGTCGTAAAGGGATTTCAGGTTGTCAATCCCTTCTTACATCTCACTTGAGACACGTGCGCGCCACCACGGGCTAGTAAGGAGGTAAGCCTCCTTAGGTGCGCGCGCAGACTTCTTCACACAACATGGCACGAGTCTCTCCAAGAGAGGCAGGGCAACCCACTCTTCCTAGACAGACGATGCAGCTTGTAGCGTGCACCTGTCGGGGATCGCTTTTCAAGCTTATCACGAGCTTTGATAAGTTTGTCGTTCCAAACGTCACGACCTACATCCTCGAGGTTATGGATGTAGGCGTTCCACGCTTGAAGCAGTGAGGGACCATCACGATTGTGATTCCCACTGTACCATCGATGTCTAAAGAAAGCATCGATGAAGAACTCATTCTCAGCGCGATAGTTTTTCGCACTGGGGTCAAGGTGATGGATCCTTGACGAATCAAACAACCGTGTTCGATAATGATCACTTGTCGTCGCCGACAAGTGATCCATGACTGATTTTGGAGGCAGCCATGCTTTCTTTTCGGGAGCGAGACGCAACACGCTGCGGTCCCGCTCTTCCTGCGACGTGCCGACAGAAGTACTGGCACCTCGTTGCGAAGTGGTGTCAATAGGAGAACCGACACCACTGTGAGCGCCCGAGTCTTGCGATCTCGAGCGCCTTCGCTTTGGCGATGGTTCATCTGATTCGTCCGACGAACCTAAGATGCTACGACGCGTAGCATCATCCATGCCACGCTTGGCAGGCGGCTTAGTTTCAACCGCCTTAGATACGGATCCCTCTTCCGTATTAGGAGAGTATGAGACACCGAGCTCACAATCTGTGAAGACGTGAGTGTCTTCATGACGAGAGTCTGCATCACCAGGCGATACAGAGGGAGACGCTATGTCAACCGATGGCACATCGGTTGCAGCAGTTTTTGCTTCGGCGTCTGCACAGAGACGTGCAGACGCACTCTCAGCGGCCTTGTTCGCGCACCGCCTGACTTGCTTACCATGCGATGAAACTGATGGACTGTGGACTCGGTCAACAAGTGCAAATCCTGTCCCAAATGATTTGGGACGAGTGTCCATTCAGTCAATCAGTCACTAAAGTGACTGATGGTTAATGGGGGGGGGTGATGTAACGGGGTGAACCGTTGCATAACAATTTATAAGAAATTGTTAATAGAATATTACTATAAGAGTTATATTCTCAGAATATTGTCTTAAAGACAATATTCTGCAGCACTTACTAGTAGTTACTAATTGGTTGATATAGGCCATTTTATCAACCAACGAAGACGCGCCACGACAGACGCACGCGATGAGTGGTGAGCAGATAGTTCATATGCACATTTGTATTCAGACATCGTTAGATGAGGATAAACAGTGGTTTATTAACAGACATTAACTATGATAAATACAGTTCTACTTTTTACTTTAACCAAGTAATCGCTTCTCCTTACCGTCTTCCTCTGCACGTACCAGTAAACCTGAAGTTACGCGGCACCGCCTCATTGAGTCATCAGAATAAGTAGCTTGTACGGTCATCAGTACAAGCTTCAGGGTGCCCCTTTACAGGCTAGGTGTACCTTATAAGTATTGTTTGCGTTCGAATCTGTTCACTTTTTATAAGTATATAGGCATATTTGGAGTCACTCTTTGGTTAGGTCACTATTGCGACGCACACACGTAATTGGCTCAAAATCGACCACCGGTGAATATTATCATGTAGGCAAACACTGGATGCTCATTAGCAAAGGCTGATCGCAAAGCCCAAGTATACTGTACTGCGTTAATACAGATATTGACAGCATCATACTCATTTTATAGTGACTGCTGTAATGTAATTTTGCAAGTTGATTTGGTTCTTCGAATTGGATTACTTGTATTAAGGGGGCGTGCTTCAAAGCTAGCTCCCCTATTTTGACTCGGCCATTTCATAAAATTTGTGTCTACCAAGCCTGGAAGTTGCTCGAGTATTAACTGTACAACCTTTGAACCCAAGCTTTGCCTCGTCTTGACCATAGTTAGTAGTCACCATCATCTTGTATCCCTTTTTTCGCTGCAAAACGAAGCTGAGTTACATCGTAGCTCAGGATCGACATTGCATATGCGGTCACCCACCGGTACGGTTGCTGATGACCTTTATTTACGCTTTCATCTATACAGCGCAACCAATACTGGACAAACCCATCGAGCACCACTGATGTGCTTGCCAGAGCTACTAGAAAATCTGAGTTTCCGACTTGCCGAAACAGAGCTGGCTAATTTGGCTGTCCCACCACGACATGGTCTGACTCGTTCCGCTCTTTATCAGCTCTTTGTTCACTTGCTTGGCCACAACGTCACGAGTCTTGGCAGCCGTGCGACTGCGTTTGAGGTCATAGGCCTGGCCGATGAGCGCACAAAAGTCAATAAAGGCTTTGGTCGGATTGTACTGACCACTGAGTATCCCCCACTCGCTTGTCGCATAGTCTGACGGGTACTTTATAAAAAACATTTTGGCGTTAAGATATGATATTATTTTAAGGTACTTCTTTTTATATTTCTTTTCAAATTATTTAATTAATTTATATTTAAATTGTAAATATGTTTTAAAAATATTTTATACTCGAAATTGTTTTTATTTTTAGCTCAAAAATTAAACAATTTTTTAATAAATAAAAATTTATTTTTATTTAAAAACCAACGTTTTTTAATCTAAAATATAAAATTTTGCGTTTAATTACAATATAATAAAATTTAAAAAATATAAAAATGAATTTTAAGTTCGAAACATTAGTAATATTTAATGTTAATATTAAAAGAATTGATAATAAATATATTATTATAGTAGTAATATTTTTAATAATCAAAATTTATTGAGCATTTGGATTTTTTTATAAAAAACTCCAAATAATAATAAAATTAATAAAATAGTTGTAAAAAAAAATTCTGGAAAAATAATTCGAAGTGATTGACGCATTTCTTCAATTCTAATTAAATAACGATCATAGCAATCACCTTGTGCCACACAGCTTGTGGCTGCAAAGAGAACAGAATAGAGCACACTGATGTTGTTAGCCACCTACAAAAACCACAAGCACGAAAGGAACGTAACCGTGAACGTACTGGTAGTTGTGATAGCCCTCGCCGAGCGCACCAAGCGCAACAAAGAGGTTTTCAACAGCACGAATCTTAAGGTCGTACGGTTTATAGCCAAGAAAGTGCGCCACGCTGTTGACCATCCACGTCATGTGCAGCACCCAGACGTGACGAAAGATACCCCCGACCCAGAAGCCACTGGATGCGCTGCTAAACAGGCACGAACCCATAGCTGTTGGGACGAAGTAGCACATAAGGAGCGCGAGTTTCCCAAAGTGTCGAGTCTAAAAAGGTCGCAACGGGGTCTGCCAGCAGGTCCGTAAAGTCTAGTGTAGCGGAGCTACACAGCTCCATAAGTCAGAGGAAGACTTAACGCTCTCCGAGCAACTTAGTTCTAAAGAAATAACGACTTTACGAGTCAACAAGCTTTATAGCTTCAGATCCCTGTTCCAGGGGACCTAACGATTCAGTGAATCGACAGCACTTAGTGCTCAAGAGTAGCTACCTCAAGGAGGTGTCGCTAACTCTCAGTGATCAGAGATCAACAATCAAGACGGCTCGCAAGCCACGTGTCTTTCAGATCAAAATGGGAACTGATTTTATTTTTGTTAAAGCCTATAGAATATCTTAATCCTACTCAAAGATCTTTCGTATCTAATGGCTGACACTCGTCAGCCCCTACAAACCAACAAGATATTCTAGATCACCTTCACAAAGGGGTACCCTCAGGTGTGTAACACCTCTGGTACAAAGTACCATGATTTCGTGCAACCCCGTTACACCCTCCCCCACCAGACTGACGTTTGCCAAAACGTCAATCGAACTCGTGTTCCCAGCGAGAACAGTGCGCGTACGGTGAACCTCACGGTAACGTACGCTCCAGCACGATGTCCTCATCACCAAACTAGTCAAAGGCTCTGTGTGACTACCTCGGAATAGAGGAAGAGGTGGACTATGGTAGCGATACCAGTGTCCGCGGTGACACAGGGACATGGTCCGGCTCACTGATGCCTGAGGCACAACTTTCGAACACCCCAAATCCGTTCGCTGAACGTGGAGGTGCGAGCGCGCCGCCAGCGCAGCATGCAGCATCTGGTTCTGATGAGACTATCATCGCGAACCCGCTCGATGAGCAACAACAACTGCTTGTTCAAAAAGAAGAAAACGCTCAGCGTTATGCACAGATGACTGCAACCCTTGAACGCCAGCGTGATTATGTGTTCACCCCACCCAGTGTGGAGGAACGTCTGCGTCAAGCGGCCGGCCAAACATTGGCAACGTGGGTCATTGGCCATGGGCCTAAGACTCCTGAGGAGGTGGTGAGCTGCCAGGCACTTCGTGAGAGGTACCTGGAGCCGCACCTAACGACTCAAAGGTGATACAAGGCACGCCTTGACATGCAAGCACGTGGTGCACCAGTTCCACCGATGAAGGGTATACCCATTCTCCTGCTCGCAGGCGAAACAGCAAGTGAAGAAGACGATGCCTTTGTTCACTGGGTGCACTATGTGCGTCGCCTCAGCAACACTTTTGCTCTAAGGGCTAGTGCCCATGCGGCGGATGTGCGTCTCGAACGCAAGCTTCGGTATGATTATGCCAAGCTTAAGACCAGAGGCCAATTGCGCAAGCGCACGCGCTATGCTTCGGCTACTAAGGTAGCCGCGAGTGCTGGTCAGTCTGTGACCAACAACCCGCCAACCCGCACCACTAGTGGTGGTGAACGGCCTCGGCCTCGAGATGACCATGGCCACGATGCTCAAAAGCCTCCAAAGCATATGGGCAGTCTTGCCGAAGGGGTACCTCAAATTCCCATGAGTTTTCAGACTCAGGGTACCCACGCCACTTTACCAGATACTGGTATTGGCCCTGACGACGACGTCGTTTCAGTAGTCTCTCGACATGGAATTGACGACACCCATGCTCATCGAGCAAAGTCGGTGGCGGCCGGTGTACCGGTGGAGGCCCACGAGAAATTGGTTCTCGAAGTGAAGGGTCTTCAAGAGGCCTTGGGTAAGTCCCAGTGCATGCTGGATGCGATGCAAAGCCGCCTTCAGGCGATGGAGCAAGCTCAAACTCGGAGTGAGGCTCAGTTGGACTTGCTGATTCGTCTACAGCAATCCGGGGCAGTTCCCTTGTCGTCGGCGCAAGCGCCTCCAAGTTCACATGGGAAGGATCCCGGTACGGCTTAAGTAAGCCTACGTAGAACACTGGATGTGTGCGCAATTTGCGCGGGAGGTTTAGCGTATACGCAAGTCCCTTTCTGGCCGTGACCGTAAACGGTCCAATAAAGCGTGGACGCAACTTTGTCTTAAAGACAGCAGACACTACATTTGTAGGTAGATTTTTAGCATTGAGTAGTACTTGGTCTCCGACCTCATAACGTTCAATACAATTTCTGCCTTTGGCATCAGCTTGTTGTTTTTGGGTATCTTGGCTATCAGCCATTGCGTCACGCACATGTCTTAAGACATTTAATCGCGTTGCGAGAAACTCGCTTACCTGTTTTTGAACAGTAGCAGGGCTGATATCAGCAAGCCGATCGGCAACCTCTCCCCCACCAAGCCCTGATTCACGTAGTGATAGCGTTAACGGAACGCGAGGGTGAGTGAGACCGTTTATATAGAACGGAGTAAAGCCTGTTGAGGCATGAACAGCGTTATTTAACGCAAACTCAACAACAGGGAGCATTGAGCTCCAACGCCTAAACGTATCAGCGCAAACACTGCGCAAAATGTCGTTGATGACGCGGTTTACACGCTCAGTTTGACCGTCGGTCTGCGGATGATCCGCTGTGGACATGTCCAACCGAGTGCCAAGCACCTTGAAGATAGACTTCCAAAACTTCCCAGTGAAGCGGGGGTCTCTATCAGAGATAATTGCCACAGGCAAGCCATGTTGGCGAAAGACACGGTCGATAAACAGCTTTGCTGTACCTTCAGCATCAATGCTATCCGGCACAGCCGCTAAGTGAGCCATCTTGCTCAATCGGTCAACAAAGACCACAATACCAGTGTTGCCTTCCGAATCTTTCGGTAGGCCAAACACAAAATCCATGCTCATGGACTCCCAACAACCTCTGGGTACCGGCAAACTAGCCAGCGGCGCCGCCGCATGTGCCGAGGGTTTTACCCGTTGACACGTTTCGCACGTACGCACATAGGTGCGCACCCACTTATAAAGTTTGGGCCACCAATAACTTTGGCTCACCGAGCTATAAGTCTTCTCACGACCGAGATGACCACTTAAAGCAGTATCATGTGCCTCATAGAGGATCCGATACTTTAATTCCTCATCATGAGGTACTACAATACGAGGGTTGTCCTCAATATCCGTGCGATAGCACAACAGGCCATTATCGATGGAATATCGATGTAGCCTCGCACGTAAACGTGCCGACAATTCTATGTCCGAGTCTTTAAACTCATCGCTCCCAAGAGCACGTAGCAAAGCTACACACTGATCTTCCTTGGCATATGCCGCACGAATTAAGTCAGGGACTGACGACGATAGGGCCGTAACATGAGCAAGCTCATAGTCAGGTCGACGCGATAGCGCATCAGCCAAAGCGTTTTGCTTACCTGGCTTGTACTTCACCTCGAAGTTATATTCGGCAAAGAATGAAAGCCAACGAGCCATTCTCTGTGAGAGATGAGGCGACTGTGACACAGTTCGTAATGATGCGTGATCTGTATAAATCACAAACGGCTTTGATCCAAGCAGATGTACTCTGCATTTGACAAGAGCGTGCTTCATAGCAAGTAGCTCTTTGTCATGAACTGGATAGTTCTTTTCAGCAGCTTTCAGCTGCCGAGACTCGAATGCGATGACGCGTTCGCGTCCGTCGACATCTGTTTGTAACAGAGCACTGCCTATGGAGAAGTTAGATGCGTCACAGACGACACTATAAGGCCGACCAGAATCGGGCAAAGCCAATATTGGCGCATGAAGGAGACTTTCCTTAACGGCTTCAAACGCATCATGTTCGGTATCACCCCAACACCAACCCACATCCTTTTTAAGGAGATTGGACAATGGCCTAGCCATATCTGCGTAATTTGCACTGTACTTATGTAAGTAATTGGCAAGGCCAAGCCACTTACGCAAGTCCTTTTGGTTCTTGGGGACTGGCTAATCGACTATTGCTTTTACCTTAGCGGGATCCGCTCGAAGGCCTCGCTTCCCAATGAAGCACCCTAGAAAGGGAATCTCTTCTGCACCAAAGATGCACTTCGATGCGTTCGCATACAGCTTATACATCCGCATACACCCGAGCACCGCTCGTAAATGATCCATGTGATTATCCACATCTGATCGCCCATTCATTGCACGACTATGGACAAAAATGTCATCAAAGTACGTTTGTGCATAGCCTCGATGAGGTCTGAATAGTTGCGTTACCAACCGGTTAAATGTAGCCGGGGCGTTAGATAGCCCTTGTGGCATAACGAGCCACTCCCAAAGCATACCGCTCGGAGTACTCACCGCTGTTAGCGGAATATCGCTTGCTCGCATGAGCAGTTGGTAATAACCATCGACTAAGTCGAGTGCACTGTACAGTGTACATCCCGCCATATTGTTCTGAAGAACATCCTTTCTAGGAATAGGCGTCTGCGCCGGTATAGTGGCTGCATTAAGCTTATTGTAAGCATGCACAATACGCCACTTGCCATTTGGCTTTCTGACACAAAATGTCGGTGTATAATGGGGAGATTTACTCTCACGAACCATTCCAGCCGCGTGCTTAGCACGAAAGAAATCGTCAATGACGTCGCACTGTTCTTTAGGCAAAGGCCACTGCCGTGTTACACAGTATTTAGTTCCAGGAACCAAGTCAATCTCATGACGTACACCTCTATCGGGAGGTAAGGCAGAAGGTGGGTTGTGACACACCACACCTTGAAATTCCTTGACTAAAGGATAGAACGGATCCAAAGGATCTTTAAGGATCGAAGATCCACTTCGTGCACTAAGTGCCGCCTTTGTATCCTCTAGGACAGACTCATCCATTAACGAGGAAGAATTTAAGTCAGTATCAGGTCTAATGATTGCTAACTCGGATAACTCTCCTGCCTTCAAGGCCTGGCTAAACTCGCCATCAGACATTTCGTCTAGCTCACACAGAGCGTCCACAGATGGAAGGGTTTCGAGGCTCACATTGCCATTAACCTGACCAGTCACTCCATTAACAAGTATATATAGTGTATTGCTAATCTCACTATGTGACTGTGAGGACGCCTGGCGCTTTACAGCTGCTACTCGGCGTCTCGATTGTCTCTTCGAGACCTTACACCCCTTAGGGGTCGAGACAATATTGTCCCCTGGTTACTACCAACCATAGTACGCTCTACACGAGAGCTTTTGTCTTGACCGACATTAGGTGTGGTGCCCTCACGGCCGTCCACACTATACGGCGTATCGCCAACAGTGTCATTACTATCATTAGGTGTGGTGCCCTTACGGCCGCCCACACTATACGGCGTATCGCCAACAACGCCATTACCGGCGTTAAGCGTGGTGCCCTCACGGCCGTCCACTCTATACGGCGTATCGCCAACAATATCTTTACTGACATTAGGTGTGGTGCCCTCACGGCCGTCCACACTATACGGCGTATCGCCAACAGTGTCATTACTGTCATTAGGTGTGGTGCCCTTACGGCCGCCCACACTATACGGCGTATCGCCAACAACGCCATTACCGGCGTTAAGCGTGGTGCCCTCACGGCCGTCCACTCTATACGGCGTATCGCCAACAATATCTTTACTGACATTAGGTGTGGTGCCCTCACGGCCGCCCACACCATATGGCGAATCGCCAACAACGCCGTTACTGACATTCAGTGCGGTGCTCTCACGGCCGACCGCACTCGGTGTAATTTCACGTGCCACCATACACACATCAAAGGAATCACGTCCTTGATCACTCGGCCCTAGGCCAACCATGCTTTCAGCATACAGTGACTCGTTATCACAACGAGTACCACTCAACGGAGTACGTGCCGTTTCACTAGTTTTAGACGAGCTAGGCTCGAAACTTATGTTTTTAACATTGGAGTTAGATAACTCGGACATTCCAATATCCAGCACATTGAAATCTTCTGTTAAAGGCTCGCGCCAATAGCGCTTCTGCTGCCTAGCAAAGGTGGGTTCATGACTCTCCAAAGCTTCGCTAGGAACATTGCGCGTAGCGCCTAAGGTCTTAGACCTCCAATCAATCCATGGCTCATGGCGTATAAGCCAAGCCATACCTAGAATGAGATCATATCTCGAGTCCAAATCTAGGACAAGACAGCGCTCAATACTTTCAAAGTCTAAAAACTTTATACCTAAGTTCAATGGAACTTTAGGCACCGTTACGCGACTTCCAGTCGCTAAACGAATTGTGATAGAATCACCCCTATGCGCTGTAAGCGCCTCAGCATAACGCTGACTTCCCTCAAGGGAACGGCGTCGAGCATAATTGCAAGACGCTCCAGAATCGATCAATATCGACCAAGGCTTCTCGAAGCCCTTAATTTTCACCTCGGCGACCAACAAGCCAGACTTGTATCCACGCACCATACCCGTAGGTATGGTACTCTTTGGGGCTAAGCCCTGCATTCCTTTACCTTCTAAAGGTGTAACAGAACATAGTTCTTCCCCAGTAGGGCGCCCCGCGCCTACTGGGTGTCGGCATTTCCCCGTGCCATGCCAGACTTCTGACTCGGGCTCGAGTGTTGGCTCGTAGTCTGGCGTTGCTTACGCAAAGGGCAACCAGGCCGCAAGTGTTTAGTGCTTCCGCACGTAAAGCATCGTCTTACAACGTGTTTCTGCTCAGCAGCTTGAAGCTCAGCTTCACCTCCATCTTCAGCATAGCTGAGATCCATCGGTTCCGGCCTATTATAGGCAGTGGTACCTGAATAGTTTGCTCTCACAGAGCGAGGATTGTATCCGTTCCAACCAAGTCTGGCCGACTTGAAGTTATGCTCAGCATTAAGAGCAATTCTCACAGCCTCTTCAAACGTAGAGGGGTGAACCCGAAAAACTTCGGTTCTGGCAATGCCAGTACGTAGACCTTCCATGAAGATAGTCACATGGACTGCTTCAGGCAAAGGGTCAGACTGCATTGCAGCCATGAGCGTTCGCAGCTCTTGGACATAGTCCGATAATTCATTCTTACCCTGGCGGGTAGAAAGAAAGCGTGAGCGCACGCGGTAAGCCTGGTTAGGTGGAGAAAACACCTGTACCAATTGTAACTTGAGCGACTCCCATGTGGGAAACGCTATGTCCACCGACGTGATACACGTCAAGGCCCATTCTCTAGCTCTACCATCGAGCTTCGAGATAGCCAGCGAGACCTGTTGATGGTCAAGCGTGATCAGACCTGATCTCATGGCCATCTCGATCTCACGGATCCAGAGGATGAGGTTCTCACCCTCCTTACCGGAGAAGTTTTTTACTTCCACTCTAAGTGGACGAGGCTTAGCCTCTTCATCTGGTACAGACACGTAGCGTATAGGCATAGCCGACGCTATTTGGTCTTGGACCTGCCCTAAAAGGGTCGCTTCATACTGCATGAAGCTTTCAACACGTGCATTAAGCACTTCAGGACCTTGTGAAACAAGGAACTCCACGTACTCTGGACCCAAAGATGCGGTCAGCTTATCAAGCGCGACCTTTTGGGCCTCAGATAGGGGAGTGATGTTTTCCATCCTCACAGAGGATCAGTCTTAAAGACTCAGGCGTAGATTGACTACAAGTGCTACCAAGTGTAGCGGAGCTACACAGCTCCTTAAGTCAGAGGAAGACTTAACGCTCTACGAGCAACTTAGTTCTAAAGAAATAACGACTTTACGAGTCAACAAGCTTTATAGCTTCAGATCCCTGTTCCAGGGGACCTAACGATTCAGTGAATCGACAGCACTTAGTGCTCAAGAGTAGCTACCTCAAGGAGGTGTCGCTAACTCTCAGTGATCAGAGATCAACGATCAAGACGGCTCGCAAGCCACGTGTCTTTCAGATCAAAATGGGAACTGATTTTATTTTTGTTAAAGCCTATAGAATATCTTAATCCTACTCAAAGATCTTTCGTATCTAATGGCTGACACTCGTCAGCCCCTACAAACCGATAAGATATTCTATATCACCTTCACAGAAGCGAACCCTCAGGTGTGTAACACCTCTGGTACAAAGTACCATGATTTCGTGCAACCCCGTTACATCTAGCGTCTTGCCCGCCCATGCATGTCTATGTGCGTGTGCAGCCTGATCAGCCCATGTGCGAGAGAAGAAGAGGCCTGTGGTAAGTTGTGCCTTCAGTGGCAGACACAAGAATCTCGCCCAAACACATAACTGAATGTAAAACCTTACATGAACTATGCAAAATTAACTTTACGAAGCCGCACTTGTTGTTGTTGCAGAGCCCCCTACTAACCCGCTTTTTACACAACTACAGGTATTTCAGTCGCCCACGTAACCTAATCACCCGGGGTTCGCACTTAACGACGCCACGCTCACTCTGGATATTCTTCTCGTCAACGTATGGCGGTAGGCGTCTGGGTAACGTAAGGTCAATTATTCGATAAGACACGGTAGAGGGGAGTTTTTTGTAGCAATTGTGGGGTTCTTAGTCACGCCCGGCGGCTAACGATGAACATGTACCCTCTCTCTGATGACAGCTAATGCCTGCTCTTCTATCTACTCATTTACTCATTTACTCACGGTGACATGCCGTACTAACCGTCACTGGCATTGCTCCCCACTTGTTGCCGCGACAGCAACGTCGCTACAGAACTCGCTACTTGAATTCGAGAGGATGGAAAAGCTGTTTCTGCTGACGTCCTCGGTAGAAACCGAACGAATCGTTGATATGAACGCGTTCCCATTTGATTACTACGGCATATGGCTGCCGCTCCTTTTGCTTCGGATTCAATCCAGATTGTCACGACCACACACGGTTGCTGACTCTAGCGAATGCCTGGGGTAGCTCGCACGCCACAATCGTTTTTCCTTTGTCTACAATTGCGGCTAGGCCTTGGATCTCGATGTTGTCTACAATCGCGACATGGCCTTGGGTCTTGATGCCGTAGGATGTGCTAGGCCCGCAAAGGTCATTGGTAAATTAAAAGGATCGACACTAGACATTGAAGGTGGGCGGTCTTAGGCTATAAACAGATAGTCCGCTGGAACGTCTATCTGTACGCAGCTTACTTCAGCTGGGCGACCATGCTTCAGCAAGACTGCCTTGTCGTAAACAATCACAAAAAAAACTCCCGCTTCTGGCGTCATTACTTATGAGCGCTGGCTTTCTAAAATTACCATGTGCTCGTATTTAAGTGGCCGTGATGATGGTCATCTATGTGACAGAGATGAACAGCCGAGTTTTCGTCACATCGTTTGCTCTTATCACCTCAAAAAGCACCACAATGCTCCAAACAAACGTGCGTTCTTTTACTGTCCAACAAATGGTCATCGTAAGAGAAGAAAATCTCTCTTGTGCTGACCGATTAGAAAGGCGATGCCGGTTGTTAATATCCATGTAAGCCGTTTCACTCGAGCAACCACTACCTATTAATGCTACTCTACCGCCGAAGCAGCGTCCAGTCTGTACAAATAGTGTGCATACCGAGATTACCATGCCTCAACTCGGGTGAAAAATTCGGCGTCTAGGGGTTTCAGATTACGGCTGAGTTCTTACCTTACGATGACCATGCCAAGGTCACACATGCCATACGAAGCCGTGTCGTGTCATTGTGTCAATTTTTTTGAAATGTTGTCGAATTGAAAGCGAGGGTGTCAACTCGTTACAGGCTCAAAGTCCGTCGACTAACGACAAGGTTGCTTGGACTCGTTGGACTGGTTTTCTTTCATTCCGCAATTTACATCAAAAAGTCTACTTCCAGTCCTTATCTCGTTCAACAGGATGCACCTACCAGGCAGGCTGTTGTCTACCGCAGTAGCTGCGCTTCTTGTCCTTGGTAGCGCGAATTCTATGGCAACAACGTCAGCATCGACTGCCCTTCTGCGCACCACCACCGGAGATCGCACGGCTTCAGACCCCTTGGAGGCGGTGGAACCGCACAACGAGAACGGCGGAGAAGAGAGGATTTTTGGATTCAGTAGAACACCTACTTTGCCGAAGAAAATGATCGTTCCGCTTGATGATGCTCTTTCGGGGGCCACTCAGAAAGCGATGGCTGACGTCGTGACGGCTCAACATAAAGCGAGGGGAGGTATTTTCCGGTTTTTTGGGGAGGGTAAGCGACGGGCAAGGGAAGAACTTCTTCAGCTAAGCGGGTTGGAAAACGATCGAACAGCCCGCCAATTTGTGAAACAGCTGCACGCGATGGACGCAGACGGCAGGGGTGGCGTGTTTAAAAAGTGGCGGGCCGAGGGAAAATCGCCAACTGAGATGGCTCAACTGTTTCGGAAAGCTGGCGCGGCCAAGGGAAAACGTCTGAAGGAGGTGGTCGGTGTGTACCATACGTACAAGTACGACATGGACACTTTCAAGAAATTGACGAAGAACTGGAATGTGTACCCTAAAATTTGATGATCGAGTCGGACGCTTTGAGTCTAGTTTGTGATCCACAACACGACACTGTCATTCAGCTGATTTGCTTTTCTTCCTTTGGTAGCTAGATGCCTCATGCGGCAGACCATCTCTACCACATCAAGCGGGGATCATATAAACGTTGCACCGACCTCTCTTGTACGTGTAAGCAATGCCTTTGGTCAGTTAGGCTATTATGATCAACCATACTGCTTATTCTAACATTAGCTGTGTCCGCGGTCATGCATGTGCAGCAGACTTAGTGCCTCGTATACACATACACGCAATGTGACCCCGACTTCGCGGATATAATGCTTGCCATGTAAATAGTACAGCTGAAAGCTAGGAAAGTTGTAGCGAAAACCCTATTGCACCTCACAGTCGCCAAGATACTCTCCGACTCGAGAATCACTCAAAACTTGTACTACGTGGTCGTTGCTAGCGCTGCAAACGTTCAATTCAAGTCTTTTATCAGAGCAATCCCGATCCATACTTCATGATTGCTGTGCTTTGCTTTGCTTAGGTCGTTAAAAGCGTATGAACATTACCGTCACGATCGACGATACACCCGGCTGCCGGCACAACACATAATATCTTTGTGGCATTTTCTTTCTCACTTAGGTGAAGGCGACCGCGTAGACATGTTGAAGCTCTGGACGCACCACGCGCCACGCACTTCAAAATCTTATTTACTAGACAGATGTGTGGCATCCGATAATAATCTGGTGCTTTGTGTCGTGCTCACGATGTTTGTCATGACAAGATGATGATGATGACGATAAGGTGATGTACATTGAGATGCTTGAGAGATCTTCAATGACCGTCGTGTCCACACTATGGACTACGTTACTTTTACACTTATTGTACGAAGAAGATAACGATCGTTTGTCTCTGCTGCGTTATCCGTGTAGTAAGTATTAACTGTGCATTCGTTTATCGGGAAATGCTCAACCGCCTCTGATGAATCTGCACCCAGCATTTGGTGTAGCATCGATTTGTGCAACAAAGTAGTAATTTCACCTATTTAGCAGTATTCACACGTCTATTCAGAAGAAATGGTCCCTGCTTCTAGCTGCTGGGTATGATTTATGCGTGGCCACCGTCTCCGTTTAGCTACCTGATCTCCGATCACCATGAATGTAACGGGGTGAATCGTTACATAACAATTTATAAGAAGAAAATGTTATCAGAATATAACTATAAGAGTTATGTTCTCAGAATATTGTCATAAGGACAAATATTCTGTAGCACTTACGAGTAGTTCCTAATTGGTTGATATAGGCCATTTTATATACCAACGAAGACGCGCCACGACAGACGCACGCAATGAGTGGTGAGCAGATAGTTGATTTACACATTTGTATTTAGACATAGTTAGATTAAGATAAATAGTGATTTATTGCAGACATTAACTATTATAAATACAGTTCTACTTTTTACTTTAACCAAGTACTCGCTTCTCCTTACCGTCTTCCTCTGCACGTACGAGTGTACGTGAAGTTACGAGGCACCGCCTTATTCTGTCATCAGAATAAGTAGCTTGTACTGTCACCAGTACAAGCTTCAGGGTGCCCCGTTACACCTGGTAGCACTTCGTAGTTCGTCCAAGGACCACGTTCACATCTAACATGAATATGTTGGATGATGAAGATGACCAAAGCTTTCACGCTACGCGTGACGGCTACTCCCATTTGAGCGATGTCGAATGGGATGCGGTTGAACGGATGGGTTCAACCATGGGCATCCATGCTGTTAGCGTCATGCTAGAGGCTCTCAATAGAGATGCCCAACATGCTATTATCGCCAAGTTCATTCAAAATGAACTTGACGCAGAACGCGAGAAAGTAGCCTTGCTTCACCAACAAGGTTCTCAACAAGCAGAGTTGTTGAGAGAACAGGGTGCTCAACATTTTGAACTGTTGAGACAGCAACAGGCTGCTGCTGGTGGGTCGATGCACTCGCGTCGACCCGAAACCTTGAAGATTGACATCTCTAAGTATAGGGGGTCGAAGAGGACTCCCTCTTGAGATGGTTCGTCGAATTGGATGACACCATAAGGGCGCGTCGCATCGACGACGGGGATATGCAAGTTGCATTTGCCCAGTCAAATCTGGCAGGACGTGCCAAGACTTGGGCACTGGGGCTCAAGTTGCACGACCCATATGCGTTTGGGTCGCTAGAAGTCTTCAAGTCGCGGCTCAGACAAACGTTTGAACCGCCTAGAGCTGAGTTCAGAGCTCGAACCGAACTCTTGAAGCTCAAGCAGGGTAAGCGTGACGTAGGTGAATTCAAGGATGTATTCCCTGAAACTGTTCCGTGCGAGTTACCGAAGGATAAAGGTATTCGACACGAGGTCGAGCTTACACCAGGCTCGAAGTACTGTGTCATGAAGCAGTGGCCACTGCCTCGTGAACAAGTACTTGCGATCGACAAGTTCTTTGCCGATCGTTTAGCTGCGGGCCATGTGATGGAATCAACCTCCCCACATAGTTCTCCGACCTTCTGTGTGCGAAAAGCAACAGGAGGGTGGCGGATAGTGCACGCGTTCAACAAATTGAACGCTGCAACGGTACCGGCTCAGACGCCGATACCGAGGAAGGACGTAATCATTGATGGTATGTCAAAGAGTACCATCTTTTCGTCCATGGATTTGATGGATGGCTTCTATCAAATCCTTATGCGAGAACGGGACATACCCTATACCGCAACGAGCTCGCCTAGCGGCAGGCTCTGGGAATGGCTAGTAATGCCACAAGGGCTTAGCAATGCCCCTGCCACGTTCAACAGATGTGTATGACATCTGTTGAGACCAGTACGAGAATTCGCGCCGAGTTCTTTCGATGACGTATTCATCCATAGTCGGGATATGGATGGAAAGTCGGATGTTGAGGTTCACAGGTACCACGTCCGACAGGTTCTTACAATCATGCGAAAGCATCAATTGTATGCAAACCTTAAGAAGCGTGTATTTGCAGCAAGCGAAATACCACTTCTTGGGTGCATCGTTGGTAAGAACGGTGTACTTCCTGATCCCGAAAAGATCAAGGCGATCACCGACTGGCCCGTGCCGGTTGATGTCAAAGGTCTTCGAAAATTCCTCGGGCTAGCGGCGTATTTGCATAAGTATTCACGCAATTACGCCGAGATGACTGTACACCTCTCTCGTTTGTTAAAAACGAACGAGAGGTGGTCATGGAACGCTGAATGTCAGCGCTCCTTTGAGGGTATCAAGCAGAGCTTGATACAATCCCCAGTCCTAGTAATTGCCGATCAGGAAAGGCCATTTCATGTGGTCTGTGATGCCAGCGATTTCGCAATCGGCTGTGCATTAATGCAGTACGATCTTGAAGGCGTTGAACGCGTCGTCTGCTATCAGTCGCGTCAGCTGCAACCAGCTGAGCGGAACTATCCAGTGCATGACAAGGAACTCCTTTCCATGAAGTATGCACTCGCGAAGTTCAGAGTCTATCTATTAGGAGATAGACCCTTCATTGTTTACACTGACCATGCGTCATTACGCACGGCAGTAAACAGCCCATATCTTTCACAACGAATGGCGCGGTGGTTGTCATTCTTTGCAGAATACAACTTTACGGTCGAGTACAAACCAGGACGACTTAATGTCGTCGCTGATGCACTCTCACGTCGTCCCGACTTTGAAACAGTCGCGAAACCTAACAGTGAGACAGTCACTGTTGCGGTTATGACGTCCTCAGTCCCATCTACAACGTTGCATGATGATGTGAGGCGGGCATACGCCCAAGATGTTGAGATTGTGAACTTGTTGACACATCTCTCCCAACCATCTCGAGAATCGTTGAAACGATTGTCGTCTGCGTATCGATCTGCATCAGATCGATGCACTACTCGCGACGGTTTACTGTATTATACAGCCGTTTCTGGTGACACAACACGTGTTGTCATTCCAGATGATACTGATCTGCGTTTGCGGATCATGTTCGAGTATCACGATGCTCCTATAGGAGGACATCGTGGCCGGGAGACAACATATATCACGGTGAGTCGAGACTTTTACTGGCCCCGCCAGTATCAGTTCGTGCGAAAGTATGTTCGCGCATGCGCAGTATGTCAACAAGTGAAGTCAAGTCCTTCACTGCGTGCACCTTTACAGCCTCTACCGGTTCCGGCTGAGTGCTGGGAATCCATCTCAATGGATTTTGTCTTCGGTTTACCCAAAGACGCACGCGGGAATACGGTTATTTTCGTATTTGTTGACAGATTCAGCAACATGGTATACCTTGTGGCTGTACCAGAGTCAATCACGGCAAGTGGCTGTGCTTGTGTCTTTATTGACAACATTTTACGACTTCATGGGTTGCCCCGTGAACTCGTATCAGACAGAGATCCACGATTCACTGCTGATTTATGGCGTTCCGTGTTCAAATCACTCGGAACGCGCTTGAAGATGTCGACATCTGATCATCCAGAGTCAGATAGTCAGACGGAACGTGCCAATTGTGTCCTTGAAGAGATACTTCGAGGATACGTACACTCCTTTGAGAGTTGGAGTGAGTTCTTGCCAATGGTAGAGTTTGCCATTCACAACTCGGTGCATGCGTCCACGACACATACACCGTTTTACGTGAATGGCTTACGTCATCCGCGTGTACCCACCTTACTAGAGTGTAACTCTGGGTTAAGGGGGGAGGGACTCGAGAGAGCAAAAACCGATTTGGTTCACGCTCATCACGCTCTGACGAAGAGGTCATTGCGTTTGATGCCGATATCGATAACATCGATATCGAAGAAGATGATGCCATCGAGAGCGAGGAAGCCCTCACTGAAGAAACGATTGATGTCGCTGCAGTGCACTCACAGCGCACTGAAGCTAACGAGTCATCAGATGAGTTCATACTGGCTCGTGAAATGGTAGTCCGTTTTGTGCAAGATTCCATCGCCGAAGCGGAGGATAAGCAAAAGCAAAACGCTGACAAGAATGGAAGGGCAAACACTCTTTTATTTAATAAAGGTGACTTAGTCCTACTGTCTACGGTTAATCTACCAAAACATGTAGTGACTAACTTGGGTAGCAGTAAACTACTACCCAAGTACATTGGCCCATTTCGTGTATTGCACCGCCTAGGCAATGCATACACGATCGAGTTACCACGTAAGATGCGAACGCATCCCACGTTTTACGTTGGTCGGCTTAAGCCGTACCATCAGTACGCTGCTTCTTCCGATGAAGAACGCCCTTGTGCTCAAGCATCTCGCAGAGAGCCTTGTGCTCCCGATGGTGGGCATCGACAAGGGTCTGAAGAGCAGCTATCTCATCCCGAGACCGATCAGCAATCCCACGAGCTACCCTTAGCTCGGTACGAAGAGATGTCAGAGCTCTCTCGTTCTCAAGCTGAGCAAAGGCAAACTCATCTCGATGCTTCGAGACAGTGTCCGCCAGTTGGAGACGCCTGTCCCGCTCATGTTCGAGATCGTCGCGTAACCCTTGCGTTACGCGATCAAAGAAGCTCTCGGGAACACACGGATCCCCATGATCGTGTGGAGAGCGTCTTTCCTCCTCCACCACCTCCTTTATAGGACTCTCGCGGTGGCCAGCGCTATCTAATTGAGCAGCTGTTGAGCCACCGCGACTTGAACGGACGTCGGACGAGTCATCTCGTCCGGTGGCGCGGCTATCCCCCGTCCTGGGATACTTGGGACCCCCGCTCCCAACTGATGGGAGACGCACTGGGTCTGGTTGAGCAGTACACCGCGGCACATCCTATGCCGCAGAAGGACCGCCGGAGGAAGTCTTCCCGGCACGGTCGTAAAGGGATTTCAGGTTGTCAATCCCTTCGTACATCTCACTAGACATACGTGCGCGCCACCACGGGCTAGTAAGGAGGTAAGCCCCCTTAGGTGCGCGCGCAGAGTTGTTTACACAACAAGGGCAAGGTTCTCCCCAGGAAAGACAGGGTAACTCACCCTCCCTTGACAGACGATGCAGATTGTAGCGTGCTCCTGTCGGGGTTCGCTTTTCAAACTTATCACGACCCCTGATAAGTTTGTCGTTCCAAGCGTCACGACCTACATCCTCAAGGTTATGGATGTAGGCGTTCCACGCCTGAAGCAGTGAGGGACCATCACGATTGTGATTCCCACTGTACCATCGGTGTCTAAAGAAAGCATCGATGAAGAACTCATTCTCAGCGCGATAGTTTTTCGCGCTGGGGTCAAGGTGATAGATCCTTGACGAATTGAACAACCGTGTTCGATAACGATCACTCGTCGTTGCCGACAAGTGATCCATGACGGATTTTGGAGGCATCCATGCCTTCTTCTCGGGAGCGAGACGAAACACACTGCGGTCCCGATCTTCTTGCGACGTGCCAACAGAAGGACTGGCACCTCGTTGCGAAGTGGTGTCCATAGGAGAACCGACACCACTGTTAGCGCCCGAGTCTCGCGACCTCGAGCGCCTTCGCTTTGGTGATGGTTCATCTGATTCGTCAGATGAACCAAAGACGCTGCGACGCATAGCATCATCCATGCCACGCTTGGCAGGCGGCTTAGTTACGATCGCCGTCGATACGGATCCGTCTTCCGTGTCAGGAGAGTATGAGACACCGATCTCATACTCTGTGTAGACATGAGTGTCTTCATGACGAGCGCCTGCATCACCAGGTGACACAGGCTGAGTTTCTTAAGCAACCGATGGCACATCGGTTGCAGCGGTTTCTGCTTCGGCGTCTGCACATAGACGTGCAGACGCGCTCTCAACGGCCTTGTTCGCGCACAGCATGAATTTGTTTTCCTTTGCGATGAACTGTTGGAAAGTGGACTCGGACCAACAAGTGCAAACCCTTCCCAAATGATTAGGGAAGAGTATCCATTTAGTCATAAGGTCACTAAAGTGACTGATGGTTAGGGGGGGTGATGTAACGGGGTGAATCGTTACATAACAATTTATAAGAAATTGTTAATAGAATATAACTATAAGAGTTATATTCTCAGAATATTGTCATAAGGACAAAGATTCTGTAGCACTTACGAGTAGTTCCTAATAGGTTGATATAGGCCATTATATCAACCAACGAAGACACGCCACGACAGACGCACACAATGAGTGGTGAGCAGATACTTAATATACACATTTGTATTCAGACATAGTTAGATGAAGATAAATAGTGATTTATTGCAGACATTAACTATTATAAATACAGTTCTGCTTTTTACTTTAACCAAGTACTCGCTTCTTCTTACCGTCTTCCTCTGTACGTACGAGTGTACGTGAAGTTCCAAGGCACCGCCTTATTCTGTCATCAGAATAAGTAGCTTGTACTGTCACCAGTACAAGCTCAGGGTGCCCCGTTACACAGGGCCACTACCGCAGGCCTTTATTAATTATCGCTCGTGGCAATCACTGGTCGCGTACACGTTAATGAATAGGGTGTCTTCCACCACCAGTGCGATGACCCGCTTGGGCCATATCTCCTGCTGCCAAGGCTGACATACTTGCCTCTGCCTCGGGTCTAGTAATAGCGCTACCCCACCCATTTTGTCGCCGCTTTCATTTCGATTAGAACCCCAGTCGACAGATGTAATGTGTTGACGCCCCAAAGGAGGATCCACAATTGCGCTCCTAAACGCGCCTCCACCTCCGAGGCTATGTGAGTCTCCTGTATCCTCCATAAAGCTTGATGAGTTCAATGGTAATGTTCTTCCATCCATCCAGGAGCGTTGAGCTGCAAGCGAGAAATCTCGAGCATTGTAAGATTGAAATAGAGGGTGTGCTGCCCGGTCATGGCGGTGAGTTTGGATAGTGGTGGGACGCGAGAA